AAAGGAAGGAAGGAAGGAAGGAAGGAAGGAAGGAAGGAAGGAAGGAAGGAAGAAAGACAAAGAAAAAAAAAGAAAGAAGACTTTTGGGATTAAAAATACATTCTAAATTAGAAATAAATTCTCCAGAATTTAACTTTTCATATCTTTATTTACAAACATCTATCATACTAGCAAATAATGCCACTTATAGCCCTTATAGAAACAGGTTGTACTGGACAAGAAGGGTAGGGGTAATGGGATTCCTTCTCCTAATTTTGGCCAAGATTTTAGAATACTTCACTGTGCCTTTATTATGAGCAGAATTTACACATTTACAAGCAGGTTGGCAGGAGCCAGGAGTGGGGCCGGTGGGGGAGGGGGGGTGGAATCCTGTTTTTACATGGTTCATTTAGATTCCGCCTCCTCTGGAAAGCCTTCCTCACCCCACCCAGGATGACAGAGAGAATAGTGCTTAAGAACAAGCTTTTGGGGTGAGCAATCCACTTGAATACGATATATCTTAATTTTAAAAGCTAGATTAGCTGATTGAGTATATTTGCCTTTATATGTCTAACTTCTGATTTTTTTAATAGCTACTTGACACTATAACCTATTTATAGTCTTAAGGGATGCACTGTAAACACCCTTATCTATTATTTTAAAGATTTTATTTATTTATTCATGAGAGACAGAGGGAGAGAGAGAGAAGCAGAGGGAGAAGTAGGCTCCCAAGGAGCAGGGAGCCCGATGCGGGACTCGATCCCAGGACCCTGGGATCATGACCTGAGCCGAAGGCAGATGCTTAACCATCTGAGCTACCCAGGCGCCCTGTAAACACCCTTATCTAGAGTGAGTAGCAGTCACAGCAATAGAAGCAGTATTTAAAATATATTATGGTGCTCACTATGTGCCTAACACTCTGCTAAGGTATTTGCCCTCATTATTTCAATGAGTGATTTACTGTTACTACTCTCAGTTTGCAGATGAGAAAACAGGGGACTAAGGGTGAGACCAGTCAGACATTCTCATTATAAATATCATACTTAGAAAACCAACTTTCAATTAGGATCTTGTAAATGCCTTAGATAGTAAAACTAAATTAAACGTGATTTAATATTTCTTTTACGTTTGAAGTATAATTTTACGAAGTTGAAGACCTCATTCAAACTTTAAGGATCCAAAGAACAAGTACTGACAGGCTACTCAAAATCATTTCCGAAAACGTTTTAATTTCTAAGAAACGTTCCAGCAAATTTGTTTCAGATATTTATATGCCAAGTACTTTTCATAAAACTTTTTTTCCCACAATACACTTTGTACTCTCAATTTAAACTAAGAAGAATCTTCTTTTAATATTGCAAAAAATGTAAGAATAATTACGATTTCAAAGTAATAAGGGTACGACTTATTCTTAAAAGGTTGTTTTATCCTATGCAAATTTAACTCAGTATCGCAGTTTTAGGTCTAAAAGAGCTTGGAGAGCAGACTATATCTAAATCCTCTCATTTTGTAGATGAGGATGTAAAGGCTAGGTTACGAGATTTGCTCAAGTGCACGCAGGTGATGGAGGCAAACTGAGATTAGAACCCCAGTTTCCTAACTATTATGCTGTTCTTTCTCCCAAGCAGGAAGACAGCAGAAGGAATAATGAGAAAATAACCATAAACTTCTCTAACAATCATGTGAGAATGATCAATGGAAAAATATGAACTTTTCTAAAGGTATGAACTAAGGCAACATATTCACTCTCAGATCTGCTGTCTACCTAAAGTACAGAACTGCTAGTCTTGAATATGTTTTGAGACTATGAAACAAGCAACTGACCACAACTGGTCAGTATATATATATATATCTCCATGCATGTATGTATGTACCTATCTATTATCTTTCCATCTATCATCTCTGTCATCTACCTACCTACCTATACATCTTATAAAGTTAGCTAGTGTAAGAGATAACTTACCTCACTTGCATATAGTAATTTGCAATGAAATTCAGCCATTTAAAAAACCAATAAAGTGATTTTTAGCACTTCTAGAACCTCAGTGTTTCATAGGAAATTCAGTGTAATGGAGAGGTACAGCAAACACTGCAGAAAATGGGACATACATAAAACCCATGTATTATGGATCATTCCTGCATTTCCCTGCTGGCATTGACACAAAATATAATCTCTCCTATGGCATTTGGTACATCTGGCATGGAATTGTGCTGGTACACATGCCTTATCTCCCTGGCTATGTAAAGTTTCCCAAGTCAAGGACTCTCTATCATTGTTGCAATCTCTGAATGTAATGCTCCTCTCATTGATCTTTACTCAGATTGGATGCTTAACACAACTTTTTGAAAGTATGAAAAATTAACATTAAAGGTCTTGTTCATGATATTTACACAAATTTAGAAATAATCCGTGCTCAGTATTATATTTACTAACTTAACCCCCCCAATTAATCATTTACTGAATTCTTATTTAAGTTTTGATGTTTAACCATCTCTTAAATGAGGGCCCCAGATTCTTGTGTACCTACTGATCAATTTTTCAGAGTCCGAGAATGCTTAACATGAATTAAATTTCTTAAATTGGAAAAAAATCCAATAAAAATAATAAAAAGCATCTATTGGTTTATGTGAACAAATTATAACTGAGCAATGCTACATTATTTGTCATTTTGTTTGGAATTGCATTTAGAATAATTTTGACACCTCAGACAATTAGTTTATCTGTTGTGGGCTAATAAAAAGAGAACAGAGGTGAAAATTATACAATAAAAAATGCATTCACACAAGATGTAGGCCAAAAACCATCATGGTACACTATACAACAGACTTTCAGAATATTCTACAGACAAGGGAAGGAAAAATTGAATCATTACTTCTCTCCAGTCAGAATGGAATGGACATGTCCAACCTAAATAAAATGCACTGTATCAGCCAGAACCACATTTCTTGTGAGTGATAATTTAGTTTCAATAAAGCAATACTATTTATTTTACATGATAAGTAGTAGGACATTTGAATTTAATTGGTTTTGTTGTTTCAAATAAAATTCATTTCTAGGTGTGTTTGAGTTTCTTAGTTGAATAAGAACTTATGAAGAAGGCAATTTTACATTTTACATCAAGCAAAACTTGTAAGAAAATAATTTAACTCAATCTTGGGAAAGTTAACTATTTTTCCTTAAAAGAATTGAACAGACTTTAAGAAATGCTATTTTAGAATGATCAAACAGGGTGTGTGGGAGCCCAGTTAATGACATATTAGCTTCAATTTTTTGGAGAATAATATTGCTAAAACTTCAAACAGGCAATGTTGCATTGTTTAATATTAATTTCACAGTGTGAAAAAAATTAACATAGGATTGTTCTGAGGGTTTCAATTGGTCCAGCCTCTTTAAAATCTTCCTCTAAGCAAATCCTGCCATCAATGCAGAGGTGGCAGGTTCCCCCAAGGAGAGATGGCGTTTTCCCAATGGAAACCTAATCAGCAGATCTCCTAGGGTAAGCCTACTCTTACAGCCTGGCTCCTGGGACAGGAGAAAATTCACACAGGGTTTGGGTAAAGTTCAGAGAAGATTAATGGTAAACATGCCAAACAAAGAAGACAAAGAAAGAGAGTAACAAAATCAGACCTACAAAAATGAAAACATGAGTTATGATATGTGTGTATGAGATCTCATTCTCTCTCTCTCTCTCTCTCTCTCTATATATATATATATATGTATGTATATATATAGCTCATTCATCCTAACCATTTAACCATCCTACCTGCCATCCATTCAACCATCCATCTATCTATTGTATCTTTCTATACAGGAGATCACTGTCTT